ACATCTGCCACACACTTCACACACTTCAACACTTACATCCACATCTGCCACACACTTCACATACTTCAACACTTACATCCACATCTGCCACACACTTCACATACTTCAACACTTACATCCACATCTGCCACACACTTCAACACTTACATCCACATCTGCCACACATTTCACATACTTCAACACTTGCATCCACATCTGCAACACACTTCACATACTTCAACACTTACATCCACATCTGCCACACACTTCACATACTTCAACACTTACATCCACATCTGCCACACACTTCAACACTTACATCCACATCTGCCACACACTTCAACACTTACATCCACATCTGCCACACACTTCAACCCTTACATCCAAATCTGCCACACACTTCAACACTTACATCCACATCTGCCACACACTTCACATACTTCAACACTTACATCCACATCTACCACACACTACAACACTTACATCCACATCTGCCACACACATCACATACTTAAACACTTACATCCACATCTGCCACACACTTCACATACTTCAACACTTACATCCACATCTGCCACACACTTCACACACTTCAACACTTACATCCACATCTGCCACACACTTCAACACTTACATCCACATCTGCCACACACTTCACATACTTCAACACTTACATCCACATCTGCCACATACTTCACATACTTCAACACTTACATCCACATCTGCCACACACTTCAACACTTACATCCACATCTGCCACACACTTCAACACTTACATCCACATCTGCTACATAATTCACACACTGAAACACTTACATCATCATATCCCACATAATTCACACACTGAAACACTTACATCCACATCTGTCACACACTTCACACTTACATCATCATATCCCACACAATTCACACACTTCAACACTTACATCCACATCTGCCACACACTTCAACACTTACATCCACATAACCCACAAACCAGACATTGGTACACTGACATCCACATCTTCATCAGACTTTTGAACGAGTTACTCTCATATCTACCCCATGTGTTCATTGATTTTGAAAAGCCTTTGACAGAGTGTGGCCTGCAGACTTTTGGGATACTATAAAAAAGTACTATATAGGTAAAACCCTCATACATAGTATAGAACAGCTCTATGCCAAGGCCAACAGTGCTGTCCTGCTGAATTGGACAAATAGGGAGCTGGTTCCGAACAACAGTAGGAGTCCAGCAGGGCTGCCTCCTCTCTCCAACACTGTTTAATATTTTCTTAGAAATAATTTTGACTGATGGTCTAGAAGAACATCATGAAACAGTTACTATAGGAGGTCAAACTGGAACAAGGTTTGCAGATGACATCGATGGGTTGGCCAGGGAAGAACAAGAGCTAGTCGAGCTTATAAAGCTGCTTGATAAACATCATCCAATTATGACATGAAAATAAGCGCAGATAAGACATAGAAAAGACTAACAATCCAGCTGGTATGCCCTCAGAGATACACCAATATAACAAGTTAATCATTTCAAATATTCAGGATTCATTTTAAATGACCTAGAGTCCAGACTAGAAATCATGTCAATGGAATAATAACTCATTTCAACACTAGATAGAACACATTTTTTTAAAACTTTCATGCACTTCTGGTATTGTAAATTGTTATGCACTCTGTCTGTCTGTGTCTCTCTCTCCTCCTCCCAACCTCTTCGCTCCCCACCCCTCCCCAACCCCTTAACAACTATAGAACACGACTGGCTAGCCGACTGACCTTGTGAGGGTTTCTTCTTCATGCCCATACATCGTATCTTGGCTTCCAGGGCTTTCAGGTCATCCTCCTCTTCCATAGCTGAACTATCCGTGTCTCTGCTGCCACCAAAGGAGTCAAAGACAAGCATATCACATGAAAACACAATCCTTATATCAATCAACAAACAGGACATATTCGTTATCATCATCACATCTGACAACAACTGTATAAACATAGGTTCACTGTTCTTACATTGGTCGCCTTCATGTCACACATGAATGGGCAGGAGAAGAACACAGAGTGCATCTAGGGAATAGCCAGCTTCACAGAGACAAGAACATCAACACATGTCTGTGGTGTGGCTGTGTGGCCAGCTTCACAGAGACAAGAACATCAACACATTGTGATGTGGCTGTGTGGCCATCTTCACAGAGACAAGAACATCAACACATGTCTGTGGTGTGACTGTGTGGCCAGCTTCACAGAGACAAGAACATCAACACATTGTGATGTGACTGTGTGGCCAGCTTCACAGAGACAAGAACATCAATACATTGTGATGTGGCTGTGTGGCCAGCTTCACAGAGACAAGAACATCAACACATTGTGATGTGGCTGTGTGGCCAACTTCACAGAGACAAGAACACCAATACATGTCTGTGATGTGGCTGTGTGGCCAGCTTCACAGAGACAAGAACATCAACACATGTCTGTGGTGTGACTGTGTGGCCAACTTCACAGAGACAAGAACATCAACACATTGTGATGTGGCTGTGTGGCCAACTTCACAGAGACAAGAACATCAACACATTGTGATGTGGCTGTGTGGCCAACTTCACAGAGACAAGAACATCAACACATTGTGATGTGGCTGTGTGGCCAACTTCACAGAGACAAGAACATCAACACATGTCTGTGGTGTGACTGTGTGGCCAACTTCACAGAGACAAGAACATCAACACATTGTCTGTGATGTGGCTGTGTGGCCAGCTTCACAGAGACAAGAACATCAACACATTGTGATGTGGCTGTGTGGCCAACTTCACAGAGACAAGAACATCAACACATTGTGATGTGGCTGTGTGGCCAACTTCACAGAGACAAGAACATCAACACATGTCTGTGGTGTGACTGTGTGGCCAACTTCACAGAGACAAGAACATCAACACATTGTCTGTGATGTGGCTGTGTGGCCAGCTTCACAGAGACAAGAACATCAACACATTGTGATGTGGCTGTGTGGCCAACTTCACAGAGACAAGAACATCAACACATTGTGATGTGGCTGTGTGGCCAACTTCACAGAGACAAGAACATCAACCAATTATCTGTGATGTGGCTGTGTGGCCAACTTCACAGAGACAAGAACATCAACCAATTGTCTGTGATGTGGCTGTGTGGCCAACTTCACAGAGACAAGAACATCAACACATTGTGATGTGGCTGTGTGGCCAACTTCACAGAGACAAGAACATCAACACATGTCTGTGGTGTGACTGTGTGGCCAACTTCACAGAGACAAGAACATCAACACATTGTCTGTGATGTGGCTGTCTGGCCAACTTCACAGAGACAAGAACATCAACACATTGTCTGTGATGTGGCTGTGTGGCCAACTTCACAGAGACAAGAACATCAACACGTTGTGATGTGGCTGTGTGGCCAGCTTCACAGAGACAAGAACATCAACACATGTCTGTGGTGTGACTGTGTGGCCAACTTCACAGAGACAAGAACATCAACACATTGTGATGTGACTGTGTGGCCAACTTCACAGAGACAAGAACATCAACACATGTCTGTGGTGTGACTGTGTGGCCAACTTCACAGAGACAAGAACATCAACACATGTCTGTGGTGTGACTGTGTGGCCAACTTCACAGAGACAAGAACATCAACACATGTCTGTGGTATGACAGTGCAGCAGTCGCTAGAGTGTATAGGCAAATATCAAATATAAATAGATATAAGTATAAAAGTTTGACATCAATGGCCACCAGTAAAATAAACACAAACAAAACAGATCAATAACAGTAAAACAGGTTGATAGCAATGGCCGCTAGCAAGACAAACATGACAACAGCCAAACAGCTTAAGGATTGGCTGAACACAAAATGTGACTAAAAACTCGAGCTGTACCCAACATATGCTTCGTATTCACTTTGGGGCTGAATAGTGGACCTAATAATTATTCGGTATTCGGCCAAATACTTGCAGTCGGCCCGAATACGAATAGTGGTTACCTTATACCCACTTCTGCATACATGGCATTAACAATGGCAACATGGAACGATTGGTTTTGTTAACAGCTAATGCAGCTTTCCTGCACTAACTAAGCTGTCAGTGACCATTTCCAAGTTTAGTTACTGGTTTTAATACTTAGAATACTTTCATTCCTAGTTATTAGTTACCACAGACTGACTGAAGGATGAAAAACATCAAATGTTTTTAAATGTTTACTATTCTAAACAAATACTAACTAGACAGGGAAAGAATTTAAACTCCAGCCACATCCAAGTCGATAATATGAAAATCAAATGGAATAAGTACTTGCGTGTAAACTTCAACTGCTCCAACATGCTGAGAGAAGAAATGCAATCTAGAATACAATCTGGAAATAAAGTATACTTTGCCCTTCAATATCTGCTAAAATCAAAGTGTCTGTCTCACAACACCAAGATCAAAACATATAAAATGTTTATTAGACCAGTCATTTTATATGACTCTGAAACGTGGAGCACAACTAAAAGAGATGAAGCCTTATTACAGGTTTTCAAAAACAGTCTTACAACGAAACCCATCTTTGGACCCATCAAAGATGCAAACATCTGGGAATGGAGAGTGAGAAGCAACAATGAAATTCATAATCTGTTTAAAACACCACAGATCACTGGCATCATGAGAGCTAATAGACTGAAATGGTTGGGGCATATTGAAAGAATGTCAGATGACAGAGAAGTAAAAACTATATACACCAGGGAGATGAATGGTCTAAGACCAGGAGGCAGACCAAGAAGACCATGGAGAGATAATGTCCAGACAGACCTACAAACACTGAATCTCAAGGGCTCGAAATGCTGAAGAAGAAGACTATACACTATTCGTATTCATAATCAGCTGAATAGTTGGTCCCATTATTTGTATTCGGCCAAATATAGATAATCACTTATTTGGTACAGCTTTACTAAAAACTGTCTTCACAAACGAACAATTTCTATTATTAAAAAGTAATTAGCCTGAGAAATGAGCAGCGGGGAGAAAAGAGGAGCACAAACCTGGTATATCTCAAAGAGAATGTCTTTGGCCTAGCTCCCCCATTGGAAGCTAAATTTGCTGAACCGCCGACTGGTGTTGGGTCGTTGTCTGCACCTAGACCAGGGTCCATGCGCTCATCTCGCCAGGTTCCAATCTTCTCCATGCTGCAACCTGCAATGTGCATCAAGATAGTGACTGTCAAAACAGCACTCACAAGTTAATTACACACTGAACACCTCTTGAAAAATTAAACAGCAGTCAGCATATAGTCATTATCAAGGGCAACATCAAGGGATGCACAGCATATGGTGGTACACATTCACTGCAATACTGCGCTGCTGGAACCCAATCCATATTTCTGCATCTATCCATGGAAAAGCCAGCCCTTCTCTTTACCAATCCTGCAGCATTCTTCTCCAAATCCTCAGCCTTCTTTCTGCTGCCAACAAATGGTCTCTCACTTGCAGCCACAGCTTGGCTGTGTCTTACTTGCTGCCATAGCTTGGCTGTGTCTTACTTGCTGCCATAGCTTGGCTGTGTCTTACTTGCTGCCATAGCTTGGCTGTGTCTCAACTGCTGCCATAGCTTGGCTGTGTCTTACTTGCTGCCATAGCTTGGCTGTGTCTCAACTGCTGCCATAGCTTGGCTGTGTCTTACTTGCTGCCATAGCTTGGCTGTGTCTTACTTGCTGCCATAGCTTGGCTGTGTCTTACTTGCTGCCATAGCTTGGCTGTGTCTTACTTGCTGCCATAGCTTGGCTGTGTCTCAACTGCTGCCATAGCTTGGCTGTGTCTTACTTGCTGCCATAGCTTGGCTGTGTCTTACTTGCTGCCACAGCTTGGCTGTGTCTCAACTGCTGCCATAGCTTGGCTGTGTCTCAACTGCTGCCATAGCTTGGCTGTGTCTTACTTGCTGCCATAGCTTGGCTGTGTCTTACTTGCTGCCATAGCTTGGCTGTGTCTTACTTGCTGCCATAGCTTGGCTGTGTCTCAACTGCTGCCATAGCTTGGCTGTGTCTTACTTGCTGCCATAGCTTGGCTGTGTCTTACTTGCTGCCATAGCTTGGCTGTTTCTTACTTGCTGCCATAGCTTGGCTGTGTCTTACTTGCTGCCATAGCTTGGCTGTGTCTTACTTGCTGCCATAGCTTGGCTGTGTCTCAACTGCTGCCATAGCTTGGCTGTGTCTTACTTGCTGCCACAGCTTGGCTGTGTCTTACTTGTTGCCATAGCTTGGCTGTGTCTTACTTGCTGCCATAGCTTGGCTGTGTCTCAACTGCTGCCATAGCTTGGCTGTGTCTCAACTGCTGCCATGGCTTGGCTGTGTCTCAACTGCTGCCATAGCTTGGCTGTGTCTTACTTGCTGCCACAGCTTGGCTGTGTCTTACTTGCTGCCATAGCTTGGCTGTGTCTTACTTGCTGCCATAGCTTGGCTGTGTCTTACTTGCTGCCATAGCTTGGCTGTTTCTTACTTGCTGCCATAGCTTGGCTGTGTCTCAACTGCTGCCATAGCTTGGCTGTGTCTCAACTGCTGCCATAGCTTGGCTGTGTCTTACTTGCTGCCACAGCTTGGCTGTGTCTTACTTGCTGCCATAGCTTGGCTGTGTCTTACTTGCTGCCATAGCTTGGCTGTGTCTTACTTGCTGCCATAGCTTGGCTGTTTCTTACTTGCTGCCATAGCTTGGCTGTGTCTTACTTGCTGCCATAGCTTGGCTGTGTCTTACTTGCTGCCACAGCTTGGCTGTGTCTTACTTGCTGCCATAGCTTGGCTGTGTCTTACTTGCTGCCATAGCTTGGCTGTGTCTCAACTGCCGCCATAGCTTGGCTGTGTCTCAACTGCTGCCATGGCTTGGCTGTGTCTCAACTGCTGCCATGGCTTGGCTGTGTCTCAACTGCTGCCATAGCTTGGCTGTCACTCGCTAGCTGCCATGGCTTGGCTGCATCTTGCTGTACAAAAAAATTGACACCAGTTCAAATTCACATTCATTGCTGCCATTTTATTTATTTATACATTTAATTAAATATATATATAAAAATCATTTAAATACATCTGTGGTGTTTCAAGAATCAACAAATTCTGCCAATCTGGCTGATGGTCTTAACTAGGGCTCCACCTCATTTCAGCTCCCTGCACCCCCCCCCCCCCCCCCACACAACCTTTAACAATGTAATAACTGTCTAACTTTGCTGGATACACCTACAATGTTCAGAGTGCAAAAATATTTGGCAGAACCGTTACCTGAGGGTGTGCTGCCTGTTGGTCCTGTCTCAGGCACCAATCCTCTGTTAACTTCAGCTCTACCAGTGTGAGATCTGTGTCCAGAAGAACTGGCCACATCCTTCTGGTGAGTGCTGCCAGATGAGGCAGCACCAGTAGAGAGGTGAGAAGATGCCGTCTGCTTCTGTCCAGAGAGATAGTTGATGAGACTAGGAGCTTTGTACTGTTGGTGAACTTCCTTGTCCAACAGCTTGTCCATGATCTGTGCACAGAGATATTTACATCAGACCAGTCAATGTTACAGACAAGTTCTAAGAATATCTTGGGTAAAGAAAAGAACAAATGCATCCATACTTTAAGAGCTGAATATTGAAGAGGGTTGGCTAGTAAAGACAATAAAACAAAGAAAATAAATGCTTGGTCACCTGAAACGTCATGAAAGTCTAGAGAGAACCATAATGGAGGGGTATATGCCTGGGAAGAGAGGAAGAGGAAGGCCAAGGAGAAGACTGGGTGCAGATGTGGCAGATGATCTGGAAGGGTGTATCAGACGCATGGACATCTTGCTCCAGGTGATAGGAAGGTTGTCTGTCTGTCGTGTGTGGAGCTGCCTGGTGATGGTTGTGTCTGTCTGTCTGTCTGTCGTGTGTGGAGCTGCCACGTGATGGTTGACTGTGTCTGTCTGTCTGTCATGTGTGGAGCTGCCAGGTGATGCTTGACTGTGCCTGTCTGTCTGTCGTGTGTAGAGCTGACTGGTGATGGCTGACTGTGTCTGTCTGTCTGTCGTGTGTGGAGCTGCCAGGTGATGGTTTACTGTGTCTGTTTGTCTGTCTGTCATGTGTGGAGCTGCCAGGTGATGCTTGACTGTGTCTGTCTGTCTGTCGTGTGTTGAGCTGCCAGGTGATGGCTGACGGTGTCTGTCTGTCTGTCATGTGTGGAGCTGCCAGGTGATGCTTGACTGTGTCTGTCTGTCTGTCTGTCATGTGTGGAGCTGCCTGGTGATGGATGACTGTGTCTGTCTGTCTGTCATGTGTGGAGCTGCCTGGTGATGGTTGACTGTGTCTGTCTGTCTGTCGTGTGTGGAGCTGCCAGGTGATGGTTGACTGTGTCTGTCTGTCTGTTGTATGTGGAGCTGCCTGGTGATGGTTGACTGTGTCTGTCTGTCTGTCATGTGTGGAGCTGCCAGGTGATGGTTGACTGTGTCTGTCTGTCTGTCGTGTGTGGAGCTGCCAGGTGATGGCTGACTGTTCTGTCTGTCTGTCTGTTGTGTGTAGAGCTGCCTCGTGATGCTTGACTGTGTCTGTCTGTCTGTCGTGTGTGGAGCTGCCAGGTGAAAGTTGACTGTGTCTGTCTGTCTGTCGTGTGTGGAGCTGCCTGGTGATGGTTGACTGTGTCTGTCTGTCTGTTGTGTGTGGAGCTGCCTGGTGATGGCTGACTGTTCTGTCTGTCTGTCATGTGTGGAGCTGCCAGGTGATGGTTGACTGTGTCTGTCTGTCATGTGTGGAGCTGCCTGGTGATGGTTGACTGTGTCTGTCTGTCTGTCGTGTGTGGAGCTGCCTGGTGATGGTTGACTGTTCTGTCTGTCTGTCGTGTGTGGAGCTGCCTGGTGATGGTTGACTGTGTCTGTCTGTCTGTCGTGTGTGGAGCTGCCTGGTGATGGTTGACTGTGTCTGTCTGTCTGTCATGTGTGGAGCTGCCTGGTGATGGTTGACTGTGTCTGTCTGTCTGTCGTGTGTGGAGCTGTCTGGTGATGGTTGACACTGATGTGTTTCACTAGCAGATAACTGCAGACAGAAGCTGGATGCAGACACTAACCACAAGAGGTGACCAACCTTGCTGAGCTTGACCTGGTCATCTTTGTAGTGGACCAGCATGGAGATGGCCAGTTCCCCCCTACCAACACAGAGAACAACTTTATCACTACAACAATACGTATACAATTTTATACCTACAGCAACACAGAGAACAACTTTATCACTACAACAATATGTATACAATTTCATACCTACAGCAACACGGAGAACAAATTCATTACTACAACAATGTGTACACAATTGCATACCTACAGCAACACAGAGAACAACTTTATCACTACAACAATATGTATACAATTTCATACCTACAGCAACACAGAGAACAACTTTATCACTACAACAATATGTATACAATTTCATACCTACAGCAACACAGAGAACAACTTTATCACTACAACAATATGTATACAATTTCATACCTACAGCAACACAGAGAACAACTTTATCACTACAACAATATGTATACAATTTCATACCTACAGCAACACAGAGAACAGCTTTATCACTACAACAATGTGTACACAATTTCATACCTACAGCAACACAGAGAACAGCGTTATCACTACAACAATGTGTATAGAACAACTTTATTACTACAACAATATGTATACAATTTCATACCTACAGCAACACAGAGAACAACTTTAACACTACAACACTATGTATAGAACAACTTTACCATTACAAAAATATGTATAGAACAACTTTACCACTACAACAATATGTATATAATTTTATACCTACAACAATATGTATAGAACAACTTTACCATTACAAAAATATGCATAGAACAACTTTACCACTACAGCAATATGTATACAATTTCATACCTAAAGCAATATGTATAGAACAACTTTGCCACTACAACAATATGTATACAATTTCCTACCTACAACAATATGTATAGAACAACTTTACCACACCAACAATATGTATACATTTTAATACCTACAGCAACACACAGAACAACTTTACCACTACAACAATATGTAAATAGCAACTTTATCACTACAACAATATGTAAATAGCAACTTTATCACTACAACAATATGTAAATAGCAACTTTATCACTACAACAATATGTAAATAGCAACTTTATCACTACAACAATATATATACAATTTTATACCCACAGCAACACAGAGAACAACTTTACCACTACAACAATATGTATACAATTTCATACCTACAGCAACACAGAGAACAACTTTACCACTACAACAATGTATAGTACAACTTTATCACTACAACACTATGTATACAATTTTATACCTACAGCGACACAGAGAACAACTTTACTACTACAACAATGTGTACACAATTTCATACCTACAGTAATATATATCACATATACCACAATTATGCAGACAAAATTTTGACAGAAGTGAAACAAACACTGCTGGGAAACACTTGAGGTCACAGAGATGGTACTGAAACATAAATTCACAGGGAGTGGTGAGCACTGACATGAAGGTTTGGATCTGTGCACATCTTATTTGGGGAATACTTGACAATGCTTGTGATGACAATGAGTCAGGAATTGTGTTAAACCAACGTGCAGACGGTAAACTGTTTAATTTAGGGAACTTCACACTAAAGCAGGGAATCTTTCAGCGGCCAGCAGGCAGCCCATTCTCACAGATTGTCTGAAGCTTGTACCATCAATACAGACACAACTGTGGTTATCTAACAGCTGACTCACACCCAGCAGGCAGCCCATTCTCACAGATTGTCTGAAGCTTGTACCATCAATACAGACACAACTGTGGTTATCTAACAGCTGACTCACACCCAGCAGGCAGCCCATTCTCACAGATTGTCTGAAGCTTGTACCATCAATACAGACACAACTGTGGTTATCTAACAGCTGACTCACACCCAGCAGGCTGCCCATTCTCACAGATTGTTTGAAGCTTGTACCATCAATACAGACACAACTGTGGTTATCTAACAGCTGACACACCCAGCAGGCTGCACATTCTCACAGATTGTCTGAAGCATGTACCATCAATACAGACACAACTGTGGTTATCTGTCAGGCAGCTCTAAGCCAGCAGGCAGCACATTCCCACAGATTGTTTGAAGTTTGTACCAAGAATACAGACACAATTGTGGTTATCTGTCAGCCAGCTCTTTGCTAAGACTAGTGCCAGCCTAATATCACACAAAAATTGAATAAAAAGATGAATGTAGTCGACAGATTCAGCTTTGCTGGTAGTACCCTTTCTCACAGAGTCACCATCAACGGAGAGATCAGAACCAGAATCTCAAAAGTCAAGCAGCACCTTCAGGAGACTATCCTAATGTCTGGAATCAGAATGGTATCTTCTTGCAGACAACACTAAAGGTTTACAGGGCTAGTCTTACCGGTACCCCTATACGCACACACAACATGGACAGCATATCAGCACCAGGTGAAACAGCTAAATCCCTTTCCTAAAGTATGTCACAGAAGGTAACTGGCTGGACATGGTTCTGAATACTGCAGTCCTCAGCAAGGCAAACCTATCAAATCTGCCAGGCCTGTCACCTTGTCTGCCTGTCACCTTGTCTGCCTGTCACCTTGTCTGCCTGTCACCTTGTCTGCCTGTCAGATGACTGGCTTAGAAAGAGAATTGTTTTATAGTCACCTTGTAAAAGGTCCCCAGGTGTCACCTATGTCTGCTTTTCACTTTTTTTGTGCTCTATTGTCCCCCCTGTTTAAAAAGCTTCACTTAGAGATTCATCTGTCCTTACTATGATCCTGGGATCATTCTCTTGTTAGCAAATTTGTGTCATCTGTGTGTTTACTAATACCTCAATTCTAGCCCAGGTGTGTGCGAGCAGAAATCTTGTGGGCTGAGCAATGAAAGCTGTCCCCCCTCCCCTCAGGCATGACCATCACAGTGTTGAGGTGAGGAAGATGATGATGTGAGGCTGATGATGAGGTGAGGCTGATGATGAGGTGAGGCTGAGATTAGGTGAGGATGAGGTGTGGCTGATGATGAGGTGAGGCTGATGAGGTGAGGCTGATGATGAGGTGAGGCTGATGATGAGGTGAGGCTGATGATGAGGTGAGGCTGATGATGAAGTGGGGCTGATGATGAGGTGGGGCTGATGATGAGGTGATGCTGATGATGAGGTGATGATGAGGTGAGGCTGATGATGAGGTGATGATGAGGTGAGGCTGGTGATAAGGTGAGGCTGATGATGAGGTGAGGATGAGGTGAGGGTGATGATGAGGTGAGGGTGATGAGGTGAGGCTGATGATGAGGTGAAGATGAGGTGAGGCTGATGATGAGGTGAGGCTGATAATGAGGTGAGGCTGATGATAAGGTGAGGATGAGATGAGGCTGATGATAAGGTGAGGCTGATGATGAGGTGAGGATGATGTGAGGCTGATGATGATGTGAGGCTGATGATGAGGTGAGGCTGATGATGAGGCTGGTGATGAGGTGAGGCTGGTGATGAGGTGAGGCTAATGATAAGAAGAGGATGAGATGATGATGAGGTGAGGATGATGATGAGGTCGGGATGATGAAGATGAGGTGAGGATGATGATGAGGTGAGGCTGATGATGAGGTGAGGCTGATGATGAGGTGAGGATGATGATGAGGTGAGGCTGATGATGAGGTGAGGATGATGATGAGGTGATGATGATGAGGTGAGGCTGATGATGAGGTGAGGCTGATGATGAGGTGAGGATGATGATGAGGTGAGGCTGATGATGAGGTGAGGATGATGATGAGGTGAGGATGAGGTGAGGCTGATGATGAGGTGAGGCTGATGATGAGGTGAGGCTGATGATGAGGTAAGGCTGATGATGAGGCGAGGATGATGATGATGTGGAGATGAGGTGAGGATGATGATGAGGTGAGGCTGTTGATGAGGTGAGGCTGATGATGAGGTGAGGCTGATGATGAGGTTCAACTGTTTCTTATGTAACTATTGTATGAGCCAGCAGACATAGACATGTTACCCACCAAGTGCTGTCACTGCAGCCTCAAATCCTAGTTTTTCATCTGCTGTGAACATCATGTTCGCTGAAAGAACAACACCAATCATTCAGTGACAATTTGAGAACTTTCATTACAAACACTAAGGCCACCATCTTGACAACTCTGATACTGATCAACACTCCATCTGCTAACTGTCTTAAGCTGATCATCATAGTAAGTATTAAAGTAACATCCCAACTAAGATACAAAGAAGCACGCAAAAGTCTCACCTGTAATTAGGCCTACCTGTAATACAAGGCAACACATCATAAACACATCACTGGCATTACCATAAACCAATAACAAACATCTCACATCCCATATAAAGTCCTTAATACAATATGGACAAAATTAACAAGCATGACATCTGATTTAGGACAAAGGTAACAATTAGCACATACATCACTTTAGATACACAATTAAGTAAAAAACCAAAAAAAGTAAAGATCCCTTTTAAGCAGCGGGCATATGGAAAGAGCACTCATATTTTTACAGACCAATCGGCATTAGCTGGGTAATGTGGTCAGCATTATGCCGGCCGTCTCTACTTCCCCAGGACATACATCCTGGTACCAATTTTACGCTGGGTCGACCTGCCACGCCCCACACCATGATAAAAATCCACGCAGCCAGCGGTGGGTTTCGATCGCGGTACGTTGGAATTACGAGTCAGAACTTGCAGCGCCTAAGCCATGGACGCCACGCCAGATACACAGTCAAAAACTACATGTTTATTATGGACATAAAATAACAATTACATCATCTCACCTAGGATACATGTAGTTCAATCTCATCTCATCCAAGATAAACAGTAAAAGAACATTCACCTCCAGTGAGAAGTGAAGTATCACATAGCAGCTCACTTGAGATAAAGAGTGACAACACACAAAATCCCCCCTAAGATATGCAGACACACAATAACAATATATATCTCCCCTGAGATACAGACACACAATAACAACTGACATACATTTCCCCTGAGATACACAGACACACAATAACAACTGACATATATCCCCCCTGAGATACACAAATACTCAATGACAACTGACATACATCTCCCCTGAGATACAGACACAGAATAACAACTAACATACACCTCCCTGAGGTACACAGACACACAATAACAACTGACACACATCTCCCCTGAGATACACAGATACACAATAACAACTGACACACATCTCCCCTGAGATACACAATAACAACTGACACACATCTCCCCTGAGATACACAATTACACAACAACAACTGACACACATCTCCCTGAGATACACAGATACACAATAACAACTGACACACATCTCCCCTGAGATACACAGATATACAAAAACAGCTGATATACATCTCCCCTGAAACAGATAGATACACAATAACAACTGACATACATCTCCCCTGAGATACACAGATACACGATAACAACTGACATACATCTCCCCTGACATATACAATAACAGATGATATATATCTCCCCTGAGACAGATAGATACATAATAACAACTGACACACATCTCTCCTGAGATACACAGATATACAGAAACAGCTGACATACATCTCCCCTGAGACAGATAGATACACAATAACAACTGACATACATCTCCCCTGATATACAGACACAGAATATCAACTAACATACACCTCCCTGAGATACACAGATACACAATAACAACTGACACACATCTCCCTGAGATACACAGATACACAATAACAACTGACACACATCTCCCCTGAGATACACAGATATACAAAAACAGCTGATATACATCTCCCCTGAAACAGATAGATACACAATAACAACTGACATACATCTCCCCTGAGATACACAGATACACGATAACAACTGACATACATCTTCCCTGACATTTATAATAACAGCTGATATATATCTCCCCTGAGACAGATAGATACACAATAACAACTGACACACATCTCCCCTGAGATACACAGATATACAAAAACAGCTGATATACATCTCCCCTGAGACAGATAGATACACAATAACAACTGACATACATCTCCCCTGAGATACACAGATACACGATAACAACTGACATACATTTCCCCTGACATATACAATAACAGCTGATATATATCTCCCCTGAATCAGATAGATACATAATAACAACTGACATACATCTCCCCTGAGATACACAAATACACAATAACAACTGACATACATCTCCTCTGACATACACATATATACAATAACAGCTGATATACATCTCCCCTGAGACAGATAGACACACAATAACAACTAACATACATCTCCTCTGAGATATACAAATACACAATGACACCTGACATACATCTCCCCTGAGATACACAGATACACAATAACAAACACTGCAACAGTGAGGTGAAGTAACAAACAGCAGACAACTTACCTGGGATACACAGTGTGTCAAAGATGAAAGTTGCAATATTCAAAGGCAGCAGTGCCTCGCCTCGTGACTTGAGCAGACCATCTCTCAGCTGTTCTGCTTTATTTCGCACTTCTGCCAGCTCCTGTGCTCCCAGCGGAATCTTCTTCAACAACTGCAGCAGCTCTGACTCTTGGTGGGCTAGCTTCACCTGTTACACACAGCAATTGTCATTTCAAATATAGCCACAAGTTGTGGAAGGCAAGGGGAAACCAAACCACACATTTCCAGTGAATTATCAGATATTAGGAAGACAAATGTAAAGTGGACAGACATGTTCAAGATGCCACATAAAAACCTGCAGCCCTGAACAACCGGACAATGACTGCATTTAATCAAATCAAATGTACCCTTAATTAAGTTTAATCCATGGTTAATTGATTCCGGTCTGCATTTAATTTAATCTAATCTGTGTGTTATGTAACTGTTACACCTGCAGTGTCTGCTTTTTCTGCACCAAAAACAGATCAGGAGCAGGTCATTGATCATCAGCCCAGGACTGGCAGGTGTGTGGATCATCAGCCCAGGACTGGCAGGTGTGTGGATCATCAGTCCAGGACTAGCAGGTGTGTGGATCATCAATCCAGGACTAGCAGGTGTGTGGATCATCTGTAGGGGACCAGTAGTGGCACTCAACCTGCAGGGGACAAGTAGTGGCACTCCACCTGTAGGGGACCAGTAGCGGCACTCCACCTACAGGGGACAAGATGGCTGTGCTCTGGTTCATGTTGCTGTTCACTGGCTAAGACTCTCCGTGTGGGTTCCTTTGAAATCGAAGTGCATTTGCCTGAGAGGCAAGGAACCAACAGTGCATATGAAATAAACTATATCTGTAAAGTGGATGTGCACACAACATTCAGACCAAAGTCCAGAAATGCATAAACAGCCAACTTTTCACCAGAGTTTACAACCGCTGAATGCACAGAACAAGACTGGTATGAGGACAGGAACAACTAGTATGAAGACAGGAACAACTGGTATGAGGACAGGAACAACTGGTATGAGGACAGGAACAACTAGTATGAGGAAAGGAACAACTGGTATGAGGACAGGAACAACTGGTATGAGGACAGGAACAACTGGTATGAGGACAGGAACAACTAGTATGAGGACAGGAACAACTAGTATGAGGAAAGGAACAACTGGTATGATGACAGGAATAACTGGTATGAGGACAGGAACAACTGGTATGAGGACAGGAATAACTGGTATGAGGACAGGAACAACTGGTATAAGGAAAGGAACAACTGGTATGAGGACAGGAACAACTGGTATAAGGACAGGAACACCTGGTATGAGGACAGGAACATCTGGTATGAGGACAGGAACAACTGGTATGAGGACAGGAACAACTGGTATGAGGACAGGAACACCAGGTATGAGGACAGGAACATCTGGTATGAGGACAGGAACAACTGGTATGAGGACAGGAATAACTGGTATGAGGACAAGAACAACTGGAATGAGGACAGGAACAACTGGTATGAGGACAGGAACAACTGGTATGAGGACAGGAATAACTGGTATGAGGACAGGAATAACTGGTATGAGGATAGGAACAACTAGTATGAGGACAGGAACAACTGGTATGAGGACAGGAATAACTGGTATGAGGACAGGAACAACTGGTATGAGGACAGGAACAACTGGTATGAGGACAGGAATAACTGGTATGAGGACAGGAACAACTAGTATGAGGAAAGGAACAACTGGTATGAGGACAGGAATAACTGGTATGAGGACAGGAACAACTGGTATAAAGACAGGAATAACTGGTATGAGGACAGGAATAACTGGTATAAGGACAGGAATAACTGGTATGAGGACAGGAATAACTGGTATGAGGACAGGAACAACTGGTATGAGGACAGGAATAACTGGTATGAGGACAGGAATAACTGGTATAAGGACAGGAACAACTGGTATAAGGACAGGAATAACTGGTATGAGGACAGGAATAACTGGTATAAGGACAGGAACAACTGGTATGAGGACAGGAATAACTGGTATGAGGACAGGAATAACTGGTATGAGGACAGGAATAACTGGTATGAGGACAGGAATAACTGGTATGAGGACAGGAACAACTAGTATGAGGAAAGGAACAACTGGTATAAGGACAGGAACAACTGGTATAAGGACAGGAATAACTGGTATGAGGACAGGAACAACTGGTATAAGGACAGGAATAACTGGTATGAGGACAGGAACAACTGGTATGAGGACAGAAATAACTGGTATAAGGACAGGAATAACTGGTATGAGGACAGGAATAACTGGTATAAGGACAGGAATAACTGGTATGAGGACAGGAACAACTGGTATAAGGACAGGAACAACTGGGAACACTGAGTGCAGTGCTGTCCATTCTTTACTCACTGCCAAAGTTTGCTATGGATCACTTATGATGAACTTACTATCAAAAGATGTTATTAAATTTAATTCACCAACCACCTGCCCACATGTTCCAATGATAGTGTGTTCTCCCAGAGAATCAGTCAACATCTAACAACTTAAATGAAAACTGCCACCAGCTATCCTTCTGTCACATGCATTACCTCGATGGCCTTGTTGGATGCAGGCGGCCGGGCCAGCTCCAGACCAAACATTCCGATCTTGAAGGCCAGGTGCTGGCACTCCTCGTGCTCACAGAGTACACTTGCCAGGAAGGATGCTTTGGACAACAAACCACTGGCCAGCATGCTGATGTTTGTTAGAGCTTTCTTTTTCTTGGCTGAAATCAACAAAAAGGAACATTCAGGTCTGCACCCAAACCACTCAAATCTGTCTCATCACCACTCAAGTCTACAACTTCACCATTCAAGTCTCTCACTTCACTAGTAAAGTCTGTCTCTTCACATCCCAAATGTGCCCAAAATCTGTCTCTTTACATGAATACAATAGTACAAACTCTTTACAGTATACCGACACTGTTCTCTTACAATATCTGACCAATTGTCCCTCTCAATTACATTTGCCGACTTGTACAAGACTGCCTCCTCTATGAGAATTGTTGTCCCCATCTTTACAAGGCAACTTCCTCCATGAGAATTGTTGTTCCCATCTTTACAAGGCAGCTTCCTCCATGAGAATTGTTGTCCCCATCTTTACAAGGCAACTTCCTCCATGAGAATTGTTGTTCCCATCTTTACAAGGCAGCTTCCTCCATGAGAATTGTTGTCCCCATCTTTACAAGGCAACTTCCTCCATGAGAATTGTTGTTCCCATCTTTACAAGGCAACTTCCTTCATGAGAATTGTTGTCCCCATCTTTACAAGGCAGCTTCCTCCATGAGAATTGTTGTCCCCATCTTTACAAGGCAGCCTCCTCCATGAGAATTGTTGTTCCCATCTTTACAAGGCAGCTTCCTCCATGAGAATTGTTGTTCCCATCTTTACAAGGCAGCTTCCTCCATGAGAATTGTTGTCCCCATCTTTACAAGGCAACCTCCTCCATGAGAATTGTTGTCCCCATCTTTACAAGGCAGCTTCCTCCATGAGAATTGTTGTCCCCATCTTTACAAGGCAGCCTCCTTCATGAGAATTGTTGTTCCCATCTTTACAAGGCTGCTTCCTCCATGAGAATTGTTGTCCCCATCTTTACAAGGCAGCTTCCTCCATGAGAATTGTTGTTCCCATCTTTACAAGGCTGCTTCCTCCATGAGAATTGTTGTCCCCATCTTTACAAGGCAGCTTCCTCCATGAGAATTGTTTGTTTCCATCTTTACAAGGCAGGTTCCTCCATAAGAATTGTTGTTCCCATCTTTACAAGGCAGCCTCCTCCATGAGAATTGTTGTCCCCATCTTTACAAGGCAGCCTCCTCCATGAGAATTGTTGTTCCCATCTTTACAAGGCAGCTTCCTCCATGAGAATTGTTGTCCCCATCTTTACGAGGCAACTTCCTCCATGAGAATTGTTGTTCCCATCTTTACAAGGCAACTTCCTTCATGAGAATTGTTGTCCCAATCTTTACAAGGCAGCTTCCTCCATGAGAATTGTTGTCCCCATCTTTACAAGGCAGCCTCCTCCATGAGAATTGTTGTTCCCATCTTTACAAGGCAGCTTCCTCCATGAGAATTGTTGTTCCCATCTTTACAAGGCAGCTTCCTCCATGAGAATTGTTGTCCCCATCTTTACAAGGCAACCTCCTCCATGAGAATTGTTGTCCCCATCTTTACAAGGCAGCTTCCTCCATGAGAATTGTTGTCCCCATCTTTACAAGGCAGCCTCCTTCATGAGAATTGTTGTCCCCATCTTTACAAGGCAGCTTCCTCCATGAGAATTGTTGTTCCCATCTTTACAAGGCTGCTTCCTCCATGAGAATTGTTGTCCCCATCTTTACAAGGCAGCTTCCTCCATGAGAATTGTTTGTTTCCATCTTTACAAGGCAGGTTCCTCCATAAGAATTGTTGTTCCCATCTTTACAAGGCAGCTTCCATCAAACATTACGGCTGCTCACAGACAGTGCTACCATGTCATTTCTTCTGCTACTTCTGCATTTGGCCTCAGAAAGGCACAAGGCAAACTGTGCTGTGGCTTAGGGCTCGATATCCGCACCTCTGAACCACAAAACACATGTTTCCACAAACCTCTAATTGGTCGCCTTTTACAGCATGTTTCAGCAAACCTCTAATTGGTCACCTTTTACAGCATGTTTCAGCAAACCTCTAATTGGTCACCTTTTACAGCATGTTTCAGCAAACCTCTAATTGGTCACCTTTTACATGTTTCAGCAAACCTCTAATTGGTCACCTTTTACATGTTTCAGCAAACCTCTAATTGGTCACCTTTTACATGTTTCAGCAAACCTCTAATTGGTCACCTTCTACAACATGTTTCAGCACACCTCTAATTGGTCGACTTTTACAACATGTTTCAGCAAACCTCTAATTGGTCACCTTTTACAACATGTTTCAGCAAACCTCTAATTGGTCACCTTTTACAACATGTTTCAGCAAACCTCTAATTGGTCACCTTTTACAGCATGTTTCAGCAAACCTCTAATTGGTCACCTTTTACAGCATGTTTCAGCAAACCTCTAATTGGTCACCTTTTACATGTTTCAGCAAACCTCTAATTGGTCACCTTTTACATGTTTCAGCAAACCTCTAATTGGTCACCTTTTACATGTTTCAGCAAACCTCTAATTGGTCACCTTCTACAACATGTTTCAGCACACCTCTAATTGGTCGACTTTTACAACATGTTTCAGCAAATCTCTAATTGGTCACCTTTTACAACATGTTTCAGCACACCTCTAATTGGTCGACTTTTACAACATGTTTCATCAAACCTCTAATTGGTCACTTTTTACAACATGTTTCAGCAAACCTCTAATTGGTCGACTTTTACAACATGTTTCAGCAAACCTCTAATTGGTCGACTTTTACAACATGTTTCAGCACACCTCTAATTGGTCACCTTTTACAACATGTTTCAGCACACCTCTAATTGGTCACCTTTTACAACATGTTTCAGCATACCTCTAATTGGTCACAATGTAACATACACTGGGTTTATTCTCGTTTCCCTGTGCACCATCAACACATCTACTAAACACTGCAGATCCTGCTCACTGTGCACCATCAATGCATCCACTAAACACTGCAGATCCTGCTCACTGTGCACCATCAATGCATCCACTAAACACTGCAGATCCTGCTCACTGTGCACCATCAATGCATCCACTAAACACTGCAGATCCTGCTCACTGTGCACTCTACCCATTCACTATCAGACACTGTGTGTTGTACTGCAGCAAAGACAAAGGTCTCTGTTCACTTCTATCAGACACTGTGTGTTGTCCCTGCAGCAAAGATGTAGGTGTCTGTGGACTTCTATCAGACACCGTGTGTTGTCCCTGCAGCAAAGATTTAGGTCTCTGTTCACTTCTATCAGACACTGTGCGTTGTCCCTGCAGCAAAGACAAAGGTCTCTGTTCACTTCTATCAGACACTGTGTGTTGTCCCTGCAGCAAAGATGTAGGTCTATGTGGACTTCTATCAGACACCGTGTGTTGTCCCTGCAGCAAAGACATAGGTCTCTGTTCACTTCTATCAGACACTGTGTGTTGTCCCTGCAGCAAAGACAAAGGTCTCTGTTCACTTCTATCAGACACTGTGTGTTGTCCCTGCAGCAAAGACAAAGGTCTCTGTTCACTTCTATCAGACACTGTGTGTTGTCCCTGCAGCAAAGATGTAGGTCTCTGTGGACTTCTATCAGACACTGTGTGATGTCCCTGCAGCAAAGATGTAGGTCTCTGTTCACTTCTATCAGACACTGTGTGTTGTCCCTGCAGCAAAGATGTAGGTCTCTGTGGACTTCTATCAGACACTGTGTGATGTCCCTGCAGCAAAGACATAGGTCTCTGTTCACTTCTATCAGACACTGTGTGTTGTCCCTGCAGCAAAGACAAAGGTCTCTGTTCACTTCTATCAGACACTGTGTGTTGTCCCTGCAGCAAAGACAAAGGTCTCTGTTCACTTCTATCAGACACTGTGTGTTGTCCCTGCAGCAAAGATGTAGGTCTCTGTGGACTTCTATCAGACACTGTGTGATGTCCCTGCAGCAAAGATGTAGGTCTCTGTTCACTTCTATCAGACACTGTGTGTTGTCCCTGCAGCAAAGATGTAGGTCTCTGTGGACTTCTATCAGACACTGTGTGATGTCCCTGCAGCAAAGACATAGGTCTCTGTTCACTTCTATCAGACACTGTGTGATGTCCCTGCAGCAAAGATGTAGGTCTCTGTTCACTTCTATCAGACACTGTGTAAAAGTGAACACACTCAAACACTGGCACTTACATTTCGGGGACGGAGCGTTGGCAGAGTCTGCAAGAAGATCTGGAGGATTATTCAACATCTCCTCAGCCAGCTTCTGGGCAAGTCGACATGCTTCTTTGGTATGTCCATGAGCATGCAGAGCTTCAGCTCGGGCAAACAAAATCTGCAGCAAATGTCATAGCCAAATATGAGAGGTCAGTAAAGGACAGGCAGACAGGGGATAAGAGATTGTCAAAGCATGATCATGGAGACACACCATCCCTAGTTACACATGTAAAGATAACATGCGTGTATAAGTCACATCTGGTTTCTGAGGCAGTTATTCTAGGAAAAAATCGTTTTCTTAGAATTTTGATGACAGACCAAAACCAGAAGAGAAGTACACGTGAGCAGTGAAAAATTGCAACTCTGGTCACTGAGATATGTAGACATGTATTGCATGGGGAGACAGCAGGTCACTAAGATATGTAGACATGTATTGCATGGGGAGACAGCAGGTCACTAAGACATGTAGACATGTATTGCATGGGGAGACAGCTGGTCACTAAGATATGTAGACATGTATTGCATGGGGAGACAGCAGGTCACTAAGATATGTAGACATGTATTGCATGGGGAGACAGCTGGTCACTAAGATATGTAGACATGTATTGCATGGGGAGACAGCAGGTCACTAAGATATGCAGACATGTATTGCATAGGGAGACAGCTGGTCACTAAGATATGTAGACATGTATTGCATAGGGAGACAGCTGGTCACTAAGATATGCAGACATGTATTGCATAGGGAGACAGCAGGTCACTAAGATATGTAGACATGTATTGCATAGGGAGACAGCAGGTCACTAAGATATGCAGAGATGTATTGCATAGGGAGACAGCTGGTCACTAAGATATGTAGACATGTATTGCATAGGGAGACAGCTGGTCACACAGATATGGAGTCACATAATGTACGGGCAGACAGCTGGTCACACAGATATGGAGTCACATAATGTACAGGTAGACAGCTGGTCACACAGATATGGAGTCACATAATGTACGGGTAGACAACTGCTAACCCAGATATGGAGTCACATAATGCACTGGGAGTCAGCTGATCACACAGATATGTAGTCACATAATGCACTGGGAGTCAGCTGATCACAGACATATGGAATCATATTATGAGCAGAGAGACAGCTGATCACAGAGATATGTAGTCACATAATGTATGGGTAGACAGCTAGTCACAGAGATATGGAGTCACATAATGTACGGGTAGACAGCTGGTCACACAGATGTGGAGTCACTTAATGTACGGGTAGACAGCTGGTCACACAGATGTGGAGTCACTTAATGTACGGGTAGACAGCTGGTCACACAGATATGGAGTCACATAATGTACGGGTAGACAACTGCTAACACAGATATGGAGTCACAAAATGCACTGGGAGTCAGCTGATCACAAAGATATGGAATCATGGGCAGGGAGACAGCTGATCACAGAGATATGTAGTCACATAATGTATGGGTAGACAGCTAGTCACAGAGATATGTAGTCACATAATGTATGGGTAGACAGCTAGTCACAGAGATATGGAGTCACATAATGTACAGGGAGACAGCTGATCACTGAGATATGTAGTCACATAATGTACAGGGAGACAGCTGATCACACATATATGGAGTCACATAATGTATGGGGAGACAGCTGATCACACAGATATGGAGTCACATAATGTATGGGGAGACAGCTGATCACACAGATATGGAGTCACATAATGTACAGGGAGACAGCTGATCACACAGATATGGAGTCACATAATGTATGGGGAGACAGCTGATCACTGAGATATAGAGTCACATAATGTATGGGGAGACAGCTGATCACACATATATGGAGTCACATAATGTATGGGGAGACAGCTGATCACACAGATATGGAGTCACATAATGTATGGGGAGACAGCTGATCACACAGATATGGAGTCACATAATGTATGGGGAGACAGCTGATCACACAAATATGGAGTCACATAATGTATAGGGAGACAGCTGATCACACATATATGTAGTCACATAATGTACGGGGAGACAGCTGATCACACAAATATGGAGTCACATAATGTATGGGGAGACAGCTGATCACACATATATGGAGTCACAAAATGCACTGGGAGTCAGCTGATCACAGAGATATGGAATCATATTATGGGCAGGGAGACAGCTGATCACTGAGATATGGAGTCACATAATGTATAGTGAGACAGCTGATCACACAGATATGTAGTCACAAAATGTATGGGGAGACAGCTGATCACACAGATATGTAGTCACATAATGTACGGGTAGATAGCTGATCACTGAGATATGGAGTCACATAATGTATGGGGAGACAGCTGATCACAGAGATATGGAGTCACATAATGTATGGGTAGTCAGCTGATCACTGAGATATGGAGTCACATAATGTATGGGGAGACAGCTGATCACACAGATATGGAGTCACATAATGTATGGGTAGTCAGCTGATCACTGAGATATGTAGTCACATAATGTATGGGGAGACAGCTGATCACTGAGATATGGAGTCACATAATGTATGGGGAGACAGCTGATTACTGAGATATGGAGTCACATAATGTATGGGGAGACAGCTGATTACTGAGATATGTAGTCACATAATGTACGGGGAGACAGTTGATCACACAGATATGTAGTCACATAATGTATGGGGAGACAGCTGATCACACAGATATGGAGTCACATAATGTAAAGGGAGACAGCTGATCACACAGATATGGAGTCACATAATGTACAGGGAGACAGCTGATCACTGAGATATGGAGTCACATAATGTATGGGGAGACAGCTGATCACAGAGATATGGAGTCACATAATGTAAGGGGAGACAGCTGATCACACAGATATGGAGCCACATAATGTAAAGGGAGATAGCTGATCACACAGATATGAAGTCACATAATGTACAGGGAGACAGCTGATCACTGAGATATGGAGTCACATAATGTATGGGGAGACAGCTGATCACTGAGATATGTAGTCACATAATGTACGGGTAGACAGCTGATCACACAGATATGTAGTCACATATTGTAAGGGGAGACAGCTGATTACTGAGATATGTAGTCACATAATGTATGGGGAGACAGCTGATCACAGAGATATGGAGTCACATAATGTAAGGGGAGACAGCTGATCACACAGATATGGAGTCACATAATGTAAAGGGAGACAGCTGATCACACAGATATGGAGTCACATAATGTACAGGGAGACAGCTGATCACTGAGATATGGAGTCACATAATGTATGGGGAGACAGCTGATCACAGAGATATGGAGTCACATAATGTAAGGGGAGACAGCTGATCACACAGATATGGAGTCACATAATGTAAAGGGAGATAGCTGATCACACAGATATGGAGTCACATAATGTACAGGGAGACAGCTGATCACTGAGATATGGAGTCACATAATGTACAGGGAGACAGCTGATCACTGAGATATGGAGTCACATAATGTATGGGGAGACAGCTGATCACTGAGATATGTAGTCACATAATGTACGGGTAGACAGCTGATCACACAGATATGTAGTCACATAATGTATGGGGAGACAGCTGATCACAGAGATATGAAGTCACATAATGTAAGGGGAGACAGCTGATTACTGAGATATGGAGTCACATAATGTATGGGGAGACAGCTGATCACATTGATATGGAGTCACATAATGTACGGGGAGACAGTTGATCACACAGATATGTAGTCACATAATGTATGGGGAGACAGCTGATCACACAGATATGGAGTCATCTAATGTACGGGTAGACAGCTGATCACAGAAATATGTAGTCACATAATGTATGGGGAGACAGCTGATCACAGAGATATGTAGTCACATAATGTACGGGGAGACAGTTGGTCACGGAGATATGAAGTCACATAATGTAAGGGGAGACAGCTTGTCACACAGATCTGGATCAGATAATGTAAGGGAAGACAGCTTGTCACACAGATCTGGAGTCAGATAATGTAAGGGGAGACAGCAGTGTCACAGAGATTTGGGCCAGTCAGATAATGTAAGGGGAGACAGAGATTGTCACAGAGATTTGGAGTCAATCGTTAATGTAAGGGGCCGACAAGGTTGTCACAGAGATATGTAGTCACATAATGTACGGGGAGACAGTTGGTCACGGAGATATGAAGTCACATAATGTATAGGTAAACCGCTCGTCACACAGATCTGGAGTCACATAATGTAAGGGGAGACAGCTTGTCACAGAGATTTGGAGTCACATAATGTAAGGGGAGACAGCTTGTCACAGACATTTGGAGTCACATACTGCAGAGGGAGACAGCAGGTGACATAGACATGTAGTCACATAAAATACAGCAAAGTGGCCATTAACCATTAGAAATATGCAGCCATATGCCACAGGGAGACAGCTTGTCACAGAGATCTGGAGTCACATAAAATACAGCAAAGTGGCCATTAACCATCAGAAATATGCAGCCATATGCCACAGGGAGACAGCTTGTCACAGAGATCTGGAGTCACATAAAATACAGCAAAGTGGCCATTAACCATCAGAAATATGCAGCCATATGCCACAGGAAGAGATGGTTTGTCACAGAGATCTGGAGTCACATAAAATACAGCAAAGTGGCCATTAACCATCAGAAATATGCAGCCATATGCCACAGGAAGAGATGGTTTGTCACAGAGATCTGGAGTCACATAAAATACAGCAAAGTGGCCATTAACCATCAGAAATATGCAGCCATATGCCACAGGGAGACAGCTTGTTACAGAGATCTGGAGTCACATAAAATACAGCAAAGTGGCCATTAACCATCAGAAATATGCAGCCATATGCCACAGGAAGACAGCTTGTCACAGAGATCTGGAGTCACATAAAATACAGCAAAGTGGCCATTAACCATCAGAAATATGCAGCCATATGCCACAGGGAGAGATGCTTTGTCACAGAGATCTGGAGTCACATAAAATACAGCAAAGTGGCCATTAACCATCAGAAATATGCAGCCATATGCCACAGGGACAGCTTGTCACAGAGATGGAGTTAAAATACAGCAAAGTGGCACCATCAGAAATATGCAGCCATATGCCACAGGAAGACAGCTTGTCACAGAGATCTGGAGTCACATAAAATACAGCAAAGTGGCCATTAACCATCAGAAATATGCAGCCATATGCCACAGGGAGACAGCTTGTCACAGAGATCTGGAGTCACATAAAATACAGCAAAGTGGCCATTAACCATAAGAAATATGCAGCCATATGCCACAGGAAGAGATGGTTTGTCACAGAGATCTGGAGTCACATAAAATACAGCAAAGTGGCCATTAACCATCAGAAATAATGCAGCCATATGCCACAGGAGACAGCTTGTCACAGAGATCTGGAGTCACATAAAATACAGCAAAGTGACCATAACCATCAGAACTAATGCAGCCATATGCCACAGGGAGACAGCTTGTCACAGAGATCTGGAGTCACATAAAAATACAGCAAGTGCCATTAACATCAGAAATATGCAGCCATATGCCACAGGGAGACAGCTTGTCACAGAGATCTGGAGTCACATAAAATACAGCAAAGTGGCCATTAACCATCAGAAATATGCAGCCATATGCCACAGGAAGAGATGGTTTGCAAAAGTAGTGATAAATGTGGCACTGCAAAATTACAGTACGTGCAGAAATAAAAACAAGACAGGTGAGATAACGGTACAACAGACAGATAAACATATAAGTGAAATAATGGTAGAAGACAGAAATAAAAACAAGACAAGTGAGAGAGTTACACCACAGACAGAAGTATAAACAAGACAAGTGAAAGAATTACACCACAAACATAAGTATAAACAAGACAAGTGAGAGAATTATACCACAGACAGAAGTATAAACAAGACAAGTGAGAAAAATTACCACAGATAGAAGTATAAAGACAAGTGAGAGAATTATACCAGACATAAGTATAAACAAGACAAGACATGAAGTAATGAGATATGAATACACACAAGACATACAATAATGAAGAGACACAAACTCACATCCTGCATGCAATCTGCGCTCTTCAAGCCAGCAAAGACATTAGGCTCCTCCCCTTTCTCTTTCTTCTTCTTCTCAAGGTCACATGGTTTGGCCTTGGTGTCATAGAAGTAGATATTGTAGGCATCCGGCAGTGGCTGCTGGGAGTCTGGTGCCTCGACACCGGCCAGCCTGCCCTCAGCAGGAGCTGCTTCAGCCTGTGATGGTGAGGCAGCAGAGGCTCCACAACCACTGGCAGCAGCACTGGCTGGTGCGGCAGGCTCAGCTGTGTTAGCTGATGCAAGCAGCGACTTCATACTGCGGCTGGCCTTGGAAATTCTGCTGGATGGGAGCTGAGCTGCATCAGTATCGAAGTCCACAATACTCTCATCAAATACTCCGATCTTTAACATAGTGTGTTGACCAGCTTCCTGAGAATGCCCAGAACTATTTGAAGATGTCTGCACTGAAGCCACAATGGGAAGCTTTGCAATACTGCTGTGTGGGGACTGCACTTCCTCCAAGGAGTTACTTCGAGAATGTGTACCTTTATACTCTCCGCTGGAATCAGAGTCTCTGAATCCCCTATCGGGCTCACAAAATCCCTCTGATCCTGAACTTAAAGCTCCATCATGACCTGAGTCACAACGAGATGGCAGGGATGGGCGGGAGTCGCTAGAGCGGCCCCGAGCCCCATCATGGTCCTGAGACCTCTGGGAATGAGCCAGGTTTCTGTGGGAGTTATCTGTGCTGATGATGTCCTGAGAGCAGATGGTCACCGGCTGCACGCGGGATGGCTTCTTACTCTCTGAGTCATGTGACTTATTAGAACCAAAGTGATAAAAAAACCTGGACCCATCTTTGGCCGAGTAGGTGATGCCAGGTATCGGGTAATCATCCCAGGTGAGTGAGCAAGCTTCGATGGCTGGTTTGAAACCTGGGAACATTTCCACGTCGCCTTTCTTGAGCCCAGTAGTAGAGGCATTGGCATTGCTGCTTCGAGCCTTGCGTACTTTCTCAATGGTGCTGATGTGCCAGTCTCTGAACTTGGCCAGCATGTCCAGGCGCTGAGACGGTGACAGCTTTGGGTTGAGAGCACCCAAGCGCCATAGTGTGACGATCTCGTCACAGAGACTGGATGCAGCATTCTGAGTAGCATTGGCTGAGTTGCCGCTCCTGCTACAATGGATGACACTGCTGTTGTTGCACGGGGAGACTTTTGTTGTCAACCACCAGATTAGGATCTGCAAGAGAAACACATAATGTATATCAGGTCAAAGGATAAAGACTATGTAGTTAAAATCACAAAGATCTCCAGTTTCATTTTATCCATTATATGACAAGTGATGTGAGGCTATGACAAGTGATGTGAGGCTATGACAAGTGATGTGAGACTATGACAAGTGATGTGAGGCTATGACAAGTGATGTGAGGCTATGACAAGTGATGTGAGGCTATGACAAGTGATGTGAGGCTATGACAAGTGATGTGAGGCAATGACAAGTGATGTGAGGCTATGACAAGTGATGTGAGGCTATGACAAGTGATGTGAGGCTATGACAAGTGATGTGAGACTATGACAAGTGATGTGAGGCTATGACAAGTGATGTGAGGCTATGACAAGTGATGTGAGGCTAATGACAAGTGATGTGAGGCATGACAAGTGATGTGAGGCTATGACAAGTGATGTGAGGCTATGACAAGTGATGTGGGCTATGACAAGTTGATGTGAGACTATGACAAGTGATGTGAGGCTATGACACGTGATGTGAGACTATGACAAGTGATGTGAGGCAATGACAAGTGATGTGAGGCTATGACAAGTGATGTGAGGCTATGACAAGTGATGTGAGGCTATAGACAATCTGTAATATTATGTGAAGTTAAGCAGTCATGTACAGACTGTAATAAGTGAAAGCCACAATGTACGGATGTGAAGTCAAGCAATCATGTGGAGACTGTGACTATTCCTTGATGAGCCCATACCAGATCACCATGTATCAGGTTCTGCATTTACGGAACCTTCTTGGATGGTGGATGCCCACGCTCTGCCCCTGCCTTTCTTTGAAGTCAACCAATCTGCAAACGGTTGCCCTGGGCAACACACACATATGAGGCTACAAATATCCCAGGAAACAAACCTGGATAACAAATGCCCAAAGAAGTGTGTCGGCCCGAAGGGGCAAACATCACAGCTATACTGTAAACAAACACTTCACCTTAACGACAATCGGACAAATGAGAAAAAGAAAATAACTGCCGCACTCACCTGTTCACACTGCAGAACTTCATCTGTAAGTATCTCCAGTAACGGTACAGAGTTGCTGTCATGTCGACGGAACATCTCCCGAACAATGGACAAGAGATTCCAAATTCCCTCAGGCTCCCTGCCTCGCAGAGGTCGGAGCAGACTCAACCACTCGGTGGCTGCTGGCGGTGCACTGGCCGTCAGATAGTTCACATCGCTAAAACACAGTAGGAACATATGTGAGTACAAGAGAATCAACATGTTTGTCTCAATCCTTGAATCAGGCAAACAGTAACAAGCAGACAATGAGCAGGAAGGCAGAGATAGAAACATCCATATGGATAACTGGTATAGCTAGCATAGATTAAGCTCTTACATGTGTCACTGACAGTACACAATTAGATCAGCCGGCTCAATCCAATATAGAATGCTTGACATGCCAAAGAGTCAGTGTGCAACAGACTATCTCAAGAGACAACTTGCTGTGTGACAACTATGGGAGGAAACAAACACACACTTTGACAAAACAGCTGTCTCAACTGTATCCTAGTGACTTTCATCGAAAGATTTAATGTGATGTCGGTGTTTGCTGACAAATGCGTAATGATGACAAATATGTGGCCACAATTTAAAGATTGCCAGTTTGACCAAGATGCTTAATAAACAGGAATACACAGACAATTGAACTTTATACTTCTTTAATTTTAAGGGGAAAAACTACAACTGTATGGTAGGTAGGCACCTGCAACTTAAGGTCTAAGGTTTGAGACAGCCAATTAGTGCCTGTCTCCAAGTTCAACAGGCTTACTTCTATTCTTGCTAACAATATAGATTTTGTTTAAAAGTAATCACATAGCAAAAAATCTCTACAGCATTTCAAACAGGCCAAATTACATTTCATCTTCTTAAAAGGCTGGTTTGGCATGTTATGTTGCCAGCTAAGCTGCGATATCTGCCCCTGTCAGTAAACCCCCAATTTTAAAGACATGCTAGTTGAAGGCCAATGGGTCAATTCTGTGCCCCCTTCCCGATCCTTTCTTCCCCCAAACTGGAACCCACATGGAAAGGTTTACATTTAACAATATCTCCCCCTCTCCAGCTCTCCCTCCCACCTAAACAAAACAAGCTTAGCGTACTCTGCAGCAAGGCTGTGGAATAATCTTCCACCGGAAATAAAAAATATCAATAACCCCTATACATACAATCGGAAACTATTTGAATATTATATACCTCACTACAGACTATATGCCCCATTAAAAGATTATAGTATGTTAAGGCTTTGATGTATTTCTTTTTTGGTTTGAAAACTGAAGGTTTTTATTGTATAAAAACGAAGATGCCAGTCAAACACATTCCAATGTTTGTAATTAATACTGAATTAATGTTGATGATGTTTATATTATGCAACCTGTAAGACCTACATCATGTGTGGAACAGGCTGATTACTCTACCCGTGAAAATGTTCAGTCAAGTCAGTTTAGAGCACATTCCAGACTAAGATGTTGTAAACTCTTATTTTTTTTCCATAACTCTTTTTTTTTTATTTCTCTTTTTATTATTATTAACTATGAAATGAGGTACAAATGAATAATTGTATGCAAGGAGCGGAGTGGAAGGGCAGATCTTGTAGGGAGTCGGCAGTTCGAACCCCAAGTTCAAGGTGTCTCCTTCGTGCCGAAAAATTGCATGGCTGTTGGGTGAACAGTCGTTAACGAAGGCAGTCAGGTCGTTCTAGGAGCGATGCTTGCTGGTGGATGTAATGTCCTAAGTCCCTTCCCCAACTAATAGTGAGGGTACTGCTGGGGTGACCGTTTATTAACCCTCATATAATGCTTCAGGTCAAAATGGACGCTAGGCATGGCCACTTTTTTTTTTTGCTTCTGCCAGACGGTGGCTGTTGCATTTTTGCTCCATTTGTAGACTGGAAGGATATAGTTTCATCGCCCAGCTTCTGAGTTGAGTGCATGGTGTGACACTGTGAGCTACATGTGTTTTCCGTTGGCACAGGAGCGGAGCAACTATGGGGTGACCCGTTTGCTATGAAGCTGAAACTAGGATTACCAGATTACCAGATTACAGGAAGGGCAGAATGTTAGACAGGCCTTCATGTCAAATTCTTAACCCTTTGAAAATAAAGTTTGTTCATTCGTTCGTTCGTTCTCTCTTTCTCTCTATCTCTCTCTCTGTCACACACAGACACATGCAAAGGCACACATATGCAAACCTCCCGTTTAACATATTCTCACCTAAAAACTATCGGTGCTGGTATACAGAACTTCACAAGTGTCTTCTTGATGTTGGCGTGTAGTGTGGCTTCATCCAGAGACCACGATGTCTGCTCACTGGCAGATGGACCTGCAGTTGGATCTGCAAGACATGAAACAACAGCAGCCTCAGCCAAAAGTGGGCAAGGTGACAGATATTTCAAAAGGTCATATCTGATCCTCCCTTTCGGGTTATAAGAAAGATTTAGTAAGTCAAGGTCAACAAACCTCCTTACCTTCCAATGTATTGGGTGTGAGCCCTAAGCTGTTAAACTGTTGCGAAATTGTACTGTCACACTGCTGAACTGTTGCACTGCTAGACTGTTGCACTGTTGCACTGCTAGACTGTTGCACTGTTACACTGTTGCACTGCTAGACTGTTGCACTGCTAGACTGTAACACTGTTGCACTGTTACACTGTTGCACTGCTAGACTGTTGCACTGCTAGACTGTAACACTGTTGCACTGCTAGACTGTTGCACTGTTACACTGTTGCACTGTTACACTGCTAGACTGTTGCACTGTTACACTGTTGCACTGCTAGACTGTTGCACTGTTACACTGTTACACTGCTAGACTGTTGCACTGTTACACTGTTGCACTGTTACACTGTTGCACTGCTACACTATTGCACTGCTAGACTGTTGCACTGCTAGACTGTTGCACTGCTAGACTGTAACACTGTTGCACTGCTAGACTGTTGCACTGTTACACTGTTGCACTGCTAGACTGTTGCACTGCTAGACTGTAACACTGTTGCACTGCTAGACTGTTACACTACTGCACTGCTAGACTTTTGCACTGTTACACTGTTGCACTGTTACAATGTTGCACTGCTACACTGTTGGACTGCTAGACTGTTGCACTGTTACACCGTTTCACTGCTGTTAATATCTGGTCAATCAATTTTTTTTAAACAAAACAAAGTGCGACCTACACAAATACACACACACATACATATACCTGGAGCACCATAGGCTGTGTTCATGGTTGTCTCCTGGGATGACAGCAACTCATCCAGGATCTGCTGGGCTGTCGGCAAAATCTGTGGAAGTGGCAAGGGAAGCATCTCAACTTTGCGCAGGTTACCTTCTCAAGCTTCAACACATTCTTGTGGCCTCAGGTTTGTCATAACTACACTGATGATGATCAAGTGCACAAAACTGTTCAACCCTGGCTCAGTCCTATCTGGTGTAGAACAAGCCAGGAAAGTGGGCACAGGGTCAATGGGCAACATCTAAGCTTTCATGCTGAATGCTTGTCGTGAACAAAACATTTCTCTTCCACGTGGAATGGATGATGAGGAGGTCAGCGGGTTGAAGAGAGTTTGAGGAATGCTCTACGCAGCTGAGGAGTGGATCAGATTGTCTCTTGACTGCCAAGCAGTCAAGGACATGGCATTTGAGGGTGTCTATAAACCACCACTGCCATGTGCCAGCAGTTTTAGGGACATAAACCTTTATTTGCTTGTGTGACTCCAGGGAATGAACATCCAAAGCTGATGAGTATGTGTTGAGAAACCAGTGTTGAGAAACCAGTGTTGAGAAACCAGTGTTGAGAAACCAGTGAGCAGAGTTGACTAACAGGTTCTGCAAGATTCTGGTCTCAAGCACAATGACAAACACCAGCTGACTGAGTTCTTACTGGCAACAAGTACAGACAATTCTCAGCTGAGATGTTATTTACTGAGCCATCTGTACAGATGAGACATCACCTGGTCAAGTGTGTTCATGGATGCATCAACGGCTTCTTGACTCCATTCTCTGCAATACCTGCCCAGGCTGATAATTACCGCAAAGTGATCCTGCAACTGTTCTGGTGTTTCTATCCATTCAGCACTGAGCCTGACATACTCCAATGGGCAACTTCTTCTTCTTCTTCTGCTGCTGCCTTTCTATCCCCCAATGGAGCATAAGCCCTCAACCAACTTACACCAAGTTGGTCTATCTTTTGCTAACACATACAGCTCTACCAATGTCCTCCGCATCTTTTTAATTTCACTCTCTAGCTCCGTGTGTTTTTTGATCTTCCGTTATTTCTATGCCCCTGTGGGTTCGAGTGTAAAGACATTCTAATTATACTGTTCTGAGGTTTTCTCAACGTGTCCTATCCAGCGCCAGCGTCTTTTCTTCACCTCTTGGTGCACTGGAACTGGTTTACTTCTGGCCTAAAGTTGTCACACCATTTAATTGCCTCTATTCTGCGCAGGCCTCAGATAACAAATGTTTGTAGTGTATTAGTAACTGCCTTAGTTGTTCTCCCTGTTTCCGCTCCATTCAACAGTACTGATTTGACATTGGAATTAAACATGTTAAGTTCAGTATTAGTTTTAATTTCATTTGACCTCCACAAATTCCCTAGTGTTATGAAAGCTCCTCTTGCTTTTTGTATTGGTATATTATTATCTCTATCAGTTCCCCCATCTTTATTTACATTACTGCCCAAGTAGATGTACGACTCCACATTCTGGAGTGGCGTACATATATATTTGCTTGATTTATTCTCATTATCTTTCTCTTTCTCTGATGGATTTTCAGATCTAGCAGTTGTGATCTCACATCAAGTATTAGTTAGTTAGTTAGTTAGTCTTTCCTCTTGTGTCGAGTGCGGCACATAGGGCAGAGGTCGCGACTCTCCATGCACGGCGGTCCGTTGCAATCCGTTGTAGGTCTTGGATGTTTGAGTGGCCCATGAGCGAGCCTTCCCTGATGATAGTTCTACGTAGGGTTTCCCTTGGTCTTCCACGAGATCTTTTCCCCTGTGGTGTCCAAATGAGGGCTTGGTAAGGAAGTCTTGATTTATCCATTCTAAGGACGTGGCCGACATAGTTCCAGCGGCGTTTTCGTATAAAATTAGACACATACTCTTGCCTGGATTCTTGCCTTATTTGTGTATTGGTTCGGAAATCTGACCATTTGAAATTTAGTATTCTTCTAAGGCATTTATTTTCAAAACTGTCTAATTTTGTGTCTAGAGTTTTCGTTGATTTCCAACTCTCGCATCCATAGGTTAGTACTGGAATCACACAAGAATTGAAGATCTTGAGTTTTGTGTGTTTGCTAAGTGTCTTTGATTTCCAGATGTTAGACAGTTTATTGAAGGCACTAGATGCCAGTGCTATTCTAAATGATATTTCTGGTGCGGTATCTCCTGTAGATGACATCTTGCTCCCTAGATAAGTGAAACTGTTGACTTTTTCAAGGCTGTTGTTGTTCAGCGTGATATCAACTGAACTGTTGGTAAGGTCTAGAATTTTTGTTTTTGGCGGTGTTAATTTGGAGTCCAATTTGTTCTGAGAAATTCTGGAGTCGATTGATTTTTTCTTGGGCGTCTGTGTGTTCTGAACTCAGGAGTGCTATGTCGTCGGCGAAGTCTAGGTCTTCCAGAATTTTGTCAACCCATGTAATGCCTAAATTTGCGTTATTTATGCACTTGCGCATGACCCAGTCGATTGCTATACCAAAAAGCATCGGCGATAGGACACAGCCTTGCTTCACTCCTGTTTCCACCGGGAACCAGTCAGAATTGCCGGAATCAGTTCTTACACAGCATCGTGTTTCATTATAAAAAGATTTTATGATGTTGATATATTTTGATGGGGAAACCATAGATGTTAAGCAATTTCCAGAGTGTTGGACGATGGATACTGTCGAAGGCTTTTTGAAAGTCGACAAAGTTGATCAATAATTTCGACTGGAATTCTGTAGAATCTTCAACAATTATTCTAAGAGTAAAGATGTGGTCTATGCATGACCGCTTGGATCTAAAACCGGCTTGTTCTTCCCTTAATCTTTCATCTATGGATTTTTTCAATCTTTCTAGTAGCATACTACAAAATAGTTTCCCTGGTATCGAAAGCAGGGTGATGCCTCTCCAGTTGTTACAATCGGATAAATCACCTTTTTTAGGTAATTTGAAGATTACACCATCTTTCCATTGTTGTGGTGGGTAATCGTTTTGCCAGACTTCATCCATCAGCTGGAGCAAATGTTGCAGGGTGTTTTCATCCGCTGCTTTGAGCATTTCCCCTGAGATGTTGTCCTCTCCGGTAGCTTTGTTTATTCTTAATTTTTTAATAGCTGTTTTAATCTCCTCTATTGTGAATGACTCGCTGGAGGCAATTAGTGTTGGTGTAATAATTTCTTCTTCTAAATTGGGAATGATGTCAGGATTTGGCCTATTTAATATTTCCTTGAAATGTTCTGCCCATCGCTTTGTTTGTTGGTCGTCGGATAGCAGTAGTTTTACCCTGCTTGTCTTTAATGGGTGTATTTAGTGTAGGTGAGTGATTGCACAGTTATTTCATAATATGGAATACGGCTTTGTTGTTTCCAATCTTGGCAGCTGTTTCAGCATCGGAGGCGAGGTCGTGTATGAAGTTCTGTTTGTCTTTCCTTGCATTTGATTTCACTTCTTTGTCTAGCGTACTGTATTTTTCGTATGAAGATGTGTCTTTTTTGGATAAAAGTGTTAATTTTGCTTGTTTCCTTTCTTGGATTTTTGACCAGGTGTTGTCGCTTAGCCACTTCTTCTTCTGCTTTTGTACATAACCAACTGTGTTTACTGCAGCGTTCGTCAGTGTGTTCTTGAAAAAGTCCCAATTTGTGTCTATGTTATTTGTAGTATCCGCATTATTAGTTTTGGTTACATAGGTGGTGAGTATCTCTGCATTAAATGCGCTTTGATGATCTTTTGACAAAAGGGCTTGTAAGTTTATTTTCTTATTTCTGGGTGGTTTAAGTAGAGACTTGAGTTTAATTTTTAGTTTAGGATTGCAAAGATTATGATCACTGCCAATATCAGCTCCCCTGTAGGCTCTAACGTCTTGCACTGATGTACGGAATTTGGCGCTGATGCAAAAATGATCTATCTGGTTTTTTGTTATGTTATCTGGCGAAATCCAGGTTATTTTATGTATGTCTTTATGCGGAAATAAGGAGCTTGCTGCTGTTAGATTTGCTATTTCACAGAGTTCAATTAGCCTCTCTCCGTTTTGATTCATATCTCCTGGGCTGTGTACTCCCATATATTTTTGAACACATCAAGTATACTTTAAGTTATCTTGCATCTGATTCCCTGAGTGAGACAGAAATGTCATCAGCCAAATCCAGATCATCTGGCTGTTTTCTAGGGGTCCACAGAATTCCATTCCTGGTGTTAGCCATTGTCATAATCCAGTCTATTGCCAGTAAAAATAGGACAAGTGACAAAAGACATCCTGAACTCGACATGTCATGTCTTTATATGTTGCCTTTACTAAGTTAATAATTTTCTGTGGGATTCCATAGTGCCCCATCAATTTCCAGAGAGATTCCCTATCAATTCTGTCAAAAGCTTTTCCATAGTCTACGAATCTAATGTAAAGTGGTGAGTTCAATTCAATGCTTTGCTCTATTATTATACACAATGTAGCTATCTGGTCAGTACATGATCTGTCTGGCTGAATCTGGTCAGTACAGGATCTGTCTGGCTGAATCTGGTCAGTACAGGATCTGTCTGGCTGAAAAATGCCTGTTCATCTTTTAGCTTTTTATCAATGGCATCTTTTCAGTAAAAAAGTAAAGATCCCTTTTCACACCTATAGGCGCATCGGGCATATGGGAAAAGCACCCATATTTCTACAGACCAATCGGCACTAGGTGGGTAATGTGATCAGCATTACATATGTTACATACATCCTGGTACCCATTTTGGGCTAGGTCGACCTGCGACGCCCGTACCATGACAAAAATCCACGGAGCCAGCAGTAGGTTTCGATCGCGGTACGCTGGAATTACGAGTCAGACTCGCATCGCCTAAGCCACGGACAACGCATAGCATCTTTTAGTGTTTTTTTTAATGTCAGCAGCAACACAAAAATACCGCTTTCGTCAGACCATCTCATGTCTAGTGACAATGTCTGTCAGGTCGAGAATGTATCGCCAAGCCCAGAGTCAATCATTCAGAGTTGACATTGGAGACAATAAAGACATATTTTTTTTTTTATCCTAATATTTGTTCACAAATTCAGTCCAGCTGGTCTAAACATAAAGAAATACACACACAATTGTCTTGCATGGAACAGCATAGTGGTAACTGATGGACAGACAGACATGTCTCTGTCGGCTCACCTGCTGGGGCAAGTAACTGATGAGATACTGAGCAAACTTCTGCAGCTGGTCACGTCGCAGGCGGGACAGTGACTCAGAGACTGGTGCTCGCAGACACACTGAACTGGCCTGAGGACAGAGAAATGTCACCTAGAATCCTGCAACTACTGTCTGTAAACCACAAATATTAGTGACACCAAATGTCACATAGAACCCTGTAACTATTGTCCATAAACCACAAATATTAGTGACATCAAATGTCACCAAGAACCCTGCAACTATTGTCTGTAAACCACAAATATTAGTGACACCAAATGTCACAGAGAACCCTGCAAGTATTGTCTGTAAACCACAAATATTAGTGACACCAAATGTCACCTAGAACCCTGCAACTACTGTCTGTAAACCACAAATATTAGTGACACCAAATGTCACCTAGAACCCTGTAACTATTGTCCATAAACTACAAATATTAGTGACATCAAATGTCACCAAGAACCCTGCAACTATTGTCTGTAAACCACAAATATTAGTGACACCAAATGTCACCTAGAACCCTGCAACTATTGTCTGTAAACCACAAATATTAGTGACACCAAATGTCACCTAGAACCCTGCAACTACTGTCTGTAAACCACAAATATTAGTGACACCAAATGTCACCTAGAACCCTGTAACTATTGTCCACAAACCACAAATATTAGTGACATCAAATGTCACCAAGAACCCTGCAACTATTGTCTGTAAACCGAAAATATTAGTGACACCAAATGTCACAGAGAACCCTGCAAGTATTGTCTGTAAACCACAAATATTAGTGACACCAAATGTCACCTAGAACCCTGCAAGTATTGTCCATAAACCACAAATATTAGTGACACCAAATTTCACCTAGAACCCTGCGACTACTTTCTGTAAACCACAAATATTTGTGACACCAAATGTCACCTAGAAAGTGACACCAAATGTCACCTAGAACCCTGCAACTATTGTCTGTAAACCAAAAATATTAGTGACACCAAATGTCACCGAGAAACCCGGCAACTATTTTCTGTAAACCACAAATATTAGTGACACCAAATGCCACCTAGAACCCTGCAACTATTGTCTGTAAACCACAAATATTAGTGACACCAAATGTCACCTAGAACCATGCAAGTTTTGTCTGTAAACCACAAATATTAGTGACACCAAATGTCACCTACAACCCTGCAACTATTGTCTGTAAACCGAAAATATTAGTGACATCAAATGTCACCTAGAACCTGCAACTATTGTCTGTAAACCACAAATATTAGTGACACCAAATGTCACCTAGACCCCTGCAACTATTGTCTGTAAACCACAAATATTAGTGACACCAAATGTCACCTAGAACCCTGCAATTACTGTCTGTAAACCATAAATATTAGTGACACCAAGTAAAGGATCCTTTGCATGCCTTTAGGCGTATAGGGCATATAGGGCTAGACCTATATTTTATAGAAAAATAGGCACAAGATAGGTGATGTGGTCAGCATCACGCCAACCGCCTTTAATTCCTGGAATTGCACCCAGTACCCACTCAAGGCTGGGTCGCCAAGGTTACTTTTTTTAAAAGTCTGGCTCCGCCAGGGAGCGAACCCACAACCTTCAGATCCACAGGCGAGCGTCTAGCCGCTCCGCCACAGCGACTGCCAGTAAACACCAAATGTCAATAAATATTCATGTTTTCCAAAAGGACGTGTCATCCAAACAATGCCAACGTCTGCTAGACTCAGCTGGCAAGGTTTGCATTTCTCTGGCTACGTGGCCACTCCAAAATGGCTGCAGAACATGATGGTGCAATGCTATTGTCTCATAGCTTTAAAACCGAAAGTGTGTTACTTTTCTTGTCCCATTGTAATTTTTGTCCCCCTAGAAATTCCAAAGAAGACATGTTCTACTTATAGTATTTGCAGGTATTTAGAGTGTATGTCCTATTCAGTAGGAATCTGTTTTCTTGCCAGAAGTTCTTGATCAGTGATTCTGCCAACTTATTTTCATTTGATTATTCGCAGGCACTAGTTAACAAATGTTTCTAGTTCATTAGTAATTGTTTTAGTCGTCCGCACTGCTGCTTCATACAGCCCTATCTTGTGTGTGATATGTGGCACAAGAGGACAGTATCATCAACAGAGACCTGACCTGTTAGAGTCAATTCTATGTCTGGTGACAGTTACTGATGTCTTCATAATCCAGTCTATAGCCAACAAGGATAAGAAAGATAACACAATGCATTCCTGTCACTTCCAGTGCTTATAACATATCAAATGTATACAAGTTTCCCTTTTTGACTTATTCCACATTTAATATCATTGCCTGCTACTTTTTGATTCAGTTAATAATCCCCGGCAGTATCCAACAGTGATGTCATTAATTATTCCCCATAAATGCTAACTGGGCACACTTTTCCATAGTCTACGAGCCTAGATAAACTGAGTATGAGTACATCATACATTTCTACTTATGACTGAATAGTTAAAACTCTGACATGAGATGTCTCATACCTGATGTATCCTGAATAAACATTTCTATTTATGAATGAACAATTGAATGTTGAATTAAGAATCGACATCACAACACTCGGGACACCCCCATAAGAACTCTAAGCCCATCTTCAGCAGCAGCAACGAAGAGTTAAAATTCCATTTGTACCAGTAACTGTCTGATTGTATATCCATCTCGCCTTTCCCTTGAGTGTCGAGCGTCAGCCAGATCCCCTTGTAACTCCTTGCAGTGCCATTCTCCTCAGATCGTAATGATCTATCTGTTCCTCGGCACTGAGATATGACCTTGCTTGCAGAACTTTGAGCGAATAAACAGTTAAAACCCTGACATGAGATGTCTCGTACCTGATGTATCCTGAATGAACATTTCTGTTTATGAATGAACAGTTAAAACCCTGACATGAGATGTCTCCTACCTGATGTATCCTGAATGAACATTTATGTTTATGAATAAACAGTTAAAACCCTGACATGAGATGTCTCTTACCTGATGTATCCTGAATGAACATTTATGTTTATGAATAAACAGTTAAAACCCTGACATGAGATGTCTCTTACCTGATGTATCCTGAATGAACATTTATGTTTATGACTGAACAGTTAAAACCCAGACATGAGATGTCTCTTACCTGATGTATTCTGAATGAACATTTATGTTTATGACTGAACAGTTAAAACCCTGACATGAGATGTCTCTTACCTGATGTATTCTGAATGAACATTTATGTTTATGACTGAACAGTTAAAACCCTGACATGAGATGTCTCTTACCTGATGTATTCTGAATGAACATTTCTGTTTATGAATGAACAGTTAAAACCCTGACATGAGATGTCTCGTACCTGATGTATCCTGAAGAGACAGAGTGCCACTACGTGGGAGCACCACAAGGCATTGCTGTCGCAGGTACAGGTACAAGATGAAATTCTGCGTCTGTCAAACACCACCGCCACATTGAAGTTGCTCTTGCTCTGACCCTGGCCAACATTCTGAGCTGCCACCACGGTACAGCTGAGGTGGAATCCTGCACAGAGAACCAACAAACAAACTTTATTTTCAAAGGGTCATAAATTGGGCCAGTCTTACATCAGGCCCTTCCAAACACCCATCTTTCACGTAGCAGTTGTATTTTATCAATAAGGCATGTTATGTTCATATAACAATATGCATATTATGAACATCAAGAAAAAACATTGGTGGTAAAATGCATGCACACATTTGTGCGCATGCACACACTCACATGCACACGCCCACTCACACACATGCATACACACACACCCACACATACACACATACATACATATTACATACACACACATATGCCACACACATACATGCATGTGCGCATGCATCCATGCACACACACACACACATACACACATATATGCACACACACACACATATGCACACTGACGCACCCAGGGACACAAGTTACATGCACACACACACACACACACACACTGGCACACCTACACAGGCACACACACACACAAAACACACACTAAACCTATTATAATTACTCATGCAAACACTCATACATACACAGAATCACACAAACACACATACACATATATTCAACACATTTACATGTCAAAACATACACACCAGATCATACACACCTTAATAATAATAAACTGATAATGCAATATGAGCTAATAATGACACTCAAGGTGGCAAATAATCACTTGTAAGCATGAACTGAAACAGTTTGTGCTTAAATAAATAGGAACTGTATTTTTCAGATCAAATGAAAGATGGTTCCATAAATGAACTGCAGAATATGCTAAACTTGTTTTAAATAAATCTATTCTTGGTTTAGGCAAATGTAATAAACTTAGTCGCTTGCTGTTCATAGGATTGGATTTAAAATGGAAGAGGTAGTTTGGAGTACTTTGAGATAACATTTTATGAATAAACTGAACCTTGTAAAAAATTAACAATAGAGATTATTTTTGTCGATATGTTTTTTTATCTGAAACCAGACGAGAAGCGCAATTCTGAATGGAACTTAGTCTTGTAACATTGGATTTGGCGCAACCATTCCAAACTGCGGAACAATAGTCTACATGTGTTTGGATGTTTAAAAAAAAGTAAAGATCCCTTTTCCACACCTTAGGCGCATCGGGTATATAGGAAAAGCGTCCCATATTTTTACAGACCAATCGGCACTGGATGGGTAATGTGGTCAGCATTACGCCGGCCGTCTTTACTTCCCCAGGACAGCCATCCTGGTACCCATTTTAGGCTAGGTCGACCTGTGACGCCCCCATACCATGATGAAAATCCACGCAGCCAGCAGTGGATTTCGATCACAGTACGCTGGATTACGACTCGCAACACCTATGCCACGGATGCCACATTGGGAATATAGGGCTAGACCTATATTTCTTTTTATAGATGAATCGGCACTTGGTTGGCTGCCTTTATTTCCCAGGACTGCACCTGGTAAGCACTCAAGGCTCAGTCACCCTGGGAGTCAAGATGTGGTTGGATGAAGGACGCATAAAATATTGTTTGTGCATCTTCATTCAGGAAGTGCTGAATGTTGGCAAGCTGATAAACATTTTGTGCTATTTTCTTTGTTATGAACAAGAGAATTCC